AAAGGAAGGCGAAGCAACCATTTCTTACCCGGGCGACCTGGAGAGGGCGTAAGGGCGGCCAAGAATAACATGATGCAAATAAATCCAAGGAGTCTGCTCCAGACTCCGTTTATCTTCTGCTGCAGCTCAGATTCTGGCGCAGGATCAGGAACGTTTGAAGCACTGTCTGAGGCGTTTGCCTGGGCGACCCGAAAGGAGATGCGGTCCTCTTAGTTTCCCAAGTTATTTGCGATTTCTGACCTCCTAGTTACTCCTGTGTCGTTTTTAGCTAGTGATTCTTTGTATAGAATCGTTTTCTTTCACGATTCATCGCGCGGATTTTCGAATTTGTCGACTTTGACTTTGTAGACTTTTCGCTGAATTTATTGCTGCTAATAGAGGATCGAAGCTTGACGTTAACTTTAGCCATCGCTAAGTACACACACATTTTCTGTGCATGCTCGATGATATGAGTCATTAGTCTAATTTCTCGTTGACTCATTGGTTCTGTGCCATGTGATTTTTTGCCCTCATTTTTGAGGTAATCTCTTAACCGATATCGAATATATCGTCCATTTCATCATTTCCTTCTGCTGGTCATTCACCTTTCTTACCTATGCCGCGTGAATGCAGGCTTCTGTATATCCGTATTGTTCCCACTTTCGCACTTAAATTGCCCAGAAACTTGAAGACGTCAGGAGTTCGACACTGTTGAAGTAACAGTGTCATCATGCAATAAAATTCATCTTTTACTGCCTCTGCTTCAACTTCGACAGGGAGATGACAACTCCCGTGATACCGAGTGATTTGTACCCGTTCTAGGACCTCGTCAAGATAATTCGATCACATGCTAAGTTTCAGTGTGCGAGAACTACTTCTGCATTTCTATCGACTACCAATGCAATATCGTCTCTGTGAACTGCATCCTCTGTTCTCTTTCTTGTGCAGTAGGAGCTACATTTTCCCGCGATCATGTCTCTTTTATTGCTGCTACTGTACTCCATTCGACTGAGTTCTTCTGCAAACAGTTTCTTTTTATATTCGTTCATTCCGCGTGACAAATTGTGTTAGACACTTAGCACGGAAGAGTATTCAGTTCGTCTGCACTTTGCAATTTTTCCTGATCCGTACTCTTAGCTATTCAGATTTCCATGTTGATCACTAATAAAATCCGGTCCAAATGACAAATTGTCGTTGATGAAAAATAAATCCGGTTACTCGGTGATCGGTTAAAAATGGCTTCACCAGAACCTTTGCCTTGCATGCATGGTTCATGACAATCGTTCATGGCAACCGTAGCGAATGGAAATAAATGCATTTCAGCGTAATTCGACCTGCCAAGCATTTCCTTGCATTGCATTTTGCTCGGTCCTCATGACTCGTGCAGGAGGTTCGCCTTGAGGACTGTAAGTTTAAGTATATTCGATTCTTATCCACGTCATGGACCTCCCGTCTAGGTTTCACGTTTTCTCTAATGATGAGTCAAAACAAATTCGGTGCATCGCCATATCGAACTGATGTGCTGTCAATTAGGTCTCGAGCGTTCATAAACGACAGTATTGTTTGAGATCTTTGATTACGTTAAGCATCTTGCTATGACATCTACAGCGTTTTGAATGCTGCAATTCTGAATCATGCCGAATTAAAATTAGGATATGTTTTCGGCATGATTAATGTATTTCAGTAGTTCATTTATTCCCAGTGTCGAAATTAAAACAACATCGCAAACAGCGAATCCTGGAGAAAACATCGAGGTTATTTTCCATTTATCCTATAGGCTGCCCGCTAGTAGCAGTATTTCTCTAGGCACAACGTCGAATGTCGAGGAAAAGATAAGAAATACGACTATCAAATAAGTGTTTCAGTTGTCTAACGCTGATTTCACACGTTTCGTAGAACAAGCCATCACATACAAGTATGCACACCGCCACGGATACTGGATCCATTTTGCCTTGCGGTTAAATGTTTCGAGATCTCTGAATTCTACAGAGGTTAATATGACTGGATAGTGATGTTCCAGGCTTTCGTGAGGGATCATTTTGCTACTGTGGAAAATCTTGCCACATGATAGGAGTTGGCGATTGTTCCAGAATGCATAGAGTCGTTACAGCGGCTACCAAGAATTTAGCTTGACAACATCTTTAGATTTGATACGATTTCTGGACCGGAAGCTCAGTTTGTCCGCGTTTATGGGAAGCAGCGACCCTGGAGTTAGAGAAATTCTTGAGAGGCACGGTATATTGCGAAACTGTATTAGGAACCGTTTGTTTTGCACCTATTTTTGAACTGTAGCAGCAACTGGTTCGCAGCATTTAAGATTTATGGAAGCTGGACGTCTCCAGATGACTTGTACCCATTAAGGTTCTGAATAAGAATTCACACTTCTTTCACCTTACTACTGTAAAATGCTTATTCAAAATTGGTTTTCTACAGGCTCCTAATTTCACACTGTACGTTGTTCCGCGCGACATTGTATAAGTTTTAATACCCATTACGTTCGTCGTTTCACTCAGAGGACGTAACCCATTGATACTTGGAGATACCACTGTTTCTGAACCGATAGGAATTTCATGGCTCAAGCAGCAGGCGCAGAGTATGACAGATTTGCGTACATTCGTTCCTCCAAGGAAGGGCTTCTGACGACTGTCAGTTCTTTAGAAAACTGCTAGTAAAGCGAACGGCTGGTGTTACTGGTGCATATTTCTTGGTATTGGCAGGCGTCTCTCATTTCGCTGTGGACTTTTTCACGGATGGAGCGGACCATGTTCAAAGCGACCAGCTGGATTGCTTTTTCTTAGCGTATATGGCGTCAGCATATTTCTGGAAATTATCATCAAGTGTGTCTAATAATTTCATTTTGCCTGTTGGTAAGTAATGTTTATCCAGGCAAAATAAGTTAAAAACTCCGGACACTTGCTACTTGTTGATGAAAGAGCAGGTATACTTTGGCAATAGTTTTTTATCGCCACGGTCGCCCTTTATAAGAATTTACAATAGTATATCATGTAGATTTCACATCGGACAGATCCACATCCTCATTAACCATTCATACAATAATCTCTTCACTTTTCTTATGCCAATGGTTTTGGCGTAAGATAAGATACTCATTTATTTTATTCCGGCATTTCGACTTCCGGCACAGAATCCATCACCAGAGAAATTTTTAAGTGCTTCAAAATTTTTCTGCTTCGAAGCACGCAACAGATGGTAAAAAAACTTACTCCTAAAGTGTTCGCGACATACCTACACGGTCACCTCATCACAGTTGGGCTGGGGACAAAAAAAACGTTCATTTTTTTCATGTATCCGTTCATGGTGCCCTGAACCATGAATCGTTCAAACACATCTTCATGTAACTATGGGCCCAGAATCAAAAACTTGTGACCTTATTTAAAATAAACCAGTGCATTGCATCACGCTTGTTGACCTTGAAATAAACTCTGACCAGATTGCGCGCAACACTCTGTGTCCATGCCTGCAGGCATGCGGAATAGATGGTTAGCTGCATCAGAGTAAATGGCGTTAAGTCGAAGCGTTGGTACTGGTCTCCGCCAAGACTGCGTCCTGTCCCCTCTCCTGTTTGTGTTGTACATCGATAAAATGGTCAGGAGCTGCCACGGCGATGAGTGTATCTGTGTAGGAGATGTTAAGTCGAGAAGGTTGCTGTTTGCAGACGACCTTGTTTTATTAACATCTTCTGAAACTGATCTTCAGTGCTCCCTAGAAAGGTTCGCAGCCGAGTGATCAGCATGCGTGTGAACGCATCTAAAACAAAAAGCCTAGTGCTTTCTCGTTCTCCTGCCCATTGCTCTCTTGAGATTAACGAAGAGGCAGTGGGGGAGGTGGAGAAGTTCAGGCACCTCGGAACTGTATATACTAGTGATGGAAAATTTGGAGGAAGAGATCAACCGGTGAATTGGAATAGCCAGTGGCGTTCTGCATGAACTAGCCCTACCCATTGTGACTAAAGCAGAGCTCAGTCTGAAAACTAATCTCTCGGTGTTCAAGTCGATCTTTATCCCTGTGCTTACTTACGGTCAAGACGTGAACCATGACTGAAAAGCTTCGATCCCGGGTACAGCCTACTGAAACGGGCTTTCTTAGACGAGTCGCTGGCCTTACCCGTCTCTGGAATACTGACATTCGTGAGAGCTTTGTTATACAACCTTTGCTTCTCCCGATTACAGCTGCGTTGGTTTGGTCACCTGTTGCAAATGCCTCCAGAAAGGAAGGCTTGGCAGCTGTTTCTTGCACAACTGACCGACAGAATGAATGGACGGCTAAGATTAATCTGGTGCAAGTACATGTAAGGAGTCTGTTCCAGACTTCAGCTGTTTTCTGCCGAATCTCAGACTCTGACGCAGGATCAGGAACGTTTGAGTCATTGTCTGTCACGTCTGCCTCCGCAGCCCAAAAGGAAAAGCAATCATGGAAGATGAAGAAGAGGATAAAGATATTGCTTCGCGCAAGAATCCATTTGTATTGTGAATAAGTGAGGGGGCCATACAATCTTGACGTATATTGATTTTGCGTTGTGCTATAAGCTATGCTTTGTAATTCCGTAGAATTTTTCGTTCTTTCTACAGTCGGTGTGAAAATTGCAAGCCGAAATGTGGCTATTTTCGAGGTCCAGTTCCGAAAGATGTTATTAATTAGGCGGTCATCACTAAACGGCTATCGTGTATTCTTCATTTACATATGTGAACTGCGTCTTTTTAGGGATCCACTGGCTGCCGCAATGGAAACTGCAGTGCAGGAACAGCAGAGAATTCATCGTATCGATAGCAGTAGCGATGAAATCAGCACGAAATTTGCTAGATTGGTTATCGGCACCGGCGACAATGATAACTGTCCTGAATATGCTAGAATAGCTACTCATGTAATCCGTCGTTGTGAAAGCCCCAAGATATGGACTTCATTTCGCCAGTCGAACAACCTCACATCTCCTTAAACTGCGTGGTTCCTTGAATACGACTGTTTTTCAAGTACATTCCGTTGTGTATACGTGCGTACTTTTATTAGTAATTTTTGTGTTTTTTGAGATGTTTATGTTTGTTTGCATAAGCAGAGCATATCTGCTTTGTGATTCGCGCTGTATCAGCAGCTTTTCAACACTTTTGCCATATGGTACCAATCACTCCATCGCAGAAGGATATATTCTTCTCTAAAAACAGATCTGCTTTCACCTTTTACGCCATTTTCCATTCTAGCCTCATTGTCGATGTTTCTCATGTTTCGCCTTTCACACAAAAAGCTTGTGACCTGGAGGAAATTGTAGTTGTTCACTCTATTGTCTAACATGGGAACTTCTTTCATTCTTTACATCTACCGAGGTTACCTGTAACTGGAAAAATATAGAGTCATTCCTTACGTATTCCTACAATTTAGCTGCTATTATGCGTCGAAGCCAATACTCTGTTGGCAGATCAACTGTCATTCTTACCTTTTCATTACAACAATTATCCCCATGCCATGCAGCAGTACAGGCAAGATGCAGGTGAATTTTCATGGAATGTGAGTGACTCATTTCTGAACC